TCCTTAAAAAAAAGGTGTTCTCATGTTCTTGCAACACACAGTCACAGTCCAATGTGTATCTTCTGTGACACATACACACTTGCACGCACACAGGAAGGCAGCTGTCCTTCTGACACGCTGGGCCAAAGTAGAGAATGAATTACTTGAAATCAGTGTGCCAATGAGAGGAATTACAAACCTGATGATTCACTCAGTTCTTGAGGAAAAATCAATTGTGTCAAATCACCTTGCAGTATGGTAGGAAGCATTGTGTGTATAAGTCAACTCAACATTAATATAGTACTTTGTATTTGACACTGCTTGACACTGAACGAAATCTGACTGTCTTGCCTCAGACAACAGGCATGATGGGCAGCATTTTTATCATTTTACTACTGCCCACTACTGTTTCTACGTCTACCACCACCACCGCTTCCACCGTAATGATGACCGCTGCTACTTCTACAGATCTAGGTAACTTTTCTAAGGCACTCAGTATATGTCACACACTGTTCTGATTGTTCATTTAATACAACAGCTCTTATGATGGAGGGACTATTAATATGTCTATTTTGTAAATGTACAAATCAAAGCACAAGGCAGTTAAGTAGCTTGCTCAAAGTCCATAGCTAGTAAGTGGCAGAATGGGGATAAATATTCTAGCTCCTACCCTGTTCTGAGCATCTTATTAATACTGCCAGATATGAAGTGGATGCATCAAAGGTGTATTTACTCTGTATATTTTAATGTGTTATTGAAAGCTGTATGAATAATTTGCTAGCATGAACTGCTTATACAATCATATTGGTTTACTATTTCAGTTAATTGAAGGAGACGGGCCCACTCTTAATGGTACTATTTTCTTTTGAGGCCTTCTATTCCCACTCTCCCTAACTGTGCAAGAACCTAAAGGGTTTATTCAGTCCCACAGAATTGGTTCATCTTCCACACACCAGGTGCACAGTTGGGTTATCTGCTTAGTACCCTTATTCTTGTTGCTCCTTTTCTCCTCAGTGTAGTATATTGTTGCTCTTGATGATGGTATCCCATGATGCTGCAGGCTCTTTTTCTGCTGTCATTACATCTTACCAGTTCATTCATTCAGCAAATGTTTTTAGTGATTACCTATTATGTGCCAGGCCATGTGCTGTGCTACCAGTGGGAATAACGATGACCAAGATAGACAAATTCTCTCTTTATAGAGCTTACATTCAAGTAGAAAAGGCTGATAGCAAATATGAAAGCCAATAACTAAGTAAAGTAACTGCAAATCATTATTAATGCTTGAAGAAAAGCAGCGGGAAATAAGGGAAGTGGGTTTATCTAATCTAATAAAAGACAAACATGCAAATGTCCCATCCCGTCGCTACGCCTTAAGACTCCCCCACCAGCCAATCAGAGTGACTATATGCAAATTAACCCAACCAAGATGGTGGCTGGCAGCCATGGAGCTGAAGTGAGCAGGAGGCTTGGATGCTCCAGTGATGGAGGAAGCCAAGCTTCCCGCCAGCTCTGAGCTCCACTGAAGGCAACAAAGTTTCAATTATAGAAGATAAATAAACCCCAGATACCTGCTTTCAGCCGGCTGTGGCTACGGAGCTGGAGTGAGCAGGAGCAGGCTCTGAGCTCCACTGAAGGCAACAAAGTTTCAATTATAGAAGGTAAATAAATCCCAGAATAAAAAAAAAGAAAAGAAAAAAGGAGAGGCTGGGACGTGGAAGAGCTGCTGGATCAGTGTCTGGCACCAGACACTTCTGGGGACGGTACAGGGTGTGACAACATGACCTGCATCATCATTTGCTTCAAGCCCCGAAACACAGCAGAGCGTCAGCCAGAGAGTGGCAAGCAGAAACTGGAGGAGGTGCTTTCTACTGAGGAGGCTGAAGAAGATGGCAGCAGTGACAACAAGAAGGTCAAGCGGGACTAGCGGACTTGGTTGTCCAGACTCCTGCCCCCGAGACTGTTTCCTGAGCCCTCCGAACCTGAGACTGAGTTTTGTCTTTTTCCTTTAGCCTTAGCAGTGGTTGTGAGGTGTGCAGGGGGAACTGGGTGGCTTTACTCAGCCCATTCCAAAGAGGGCTCACCCTCGATGGCAGCAGTGACAACAAGAAGGTCAAGCGGGACTAGCGGACTTGGTTGTCCAGACTCCTGCCCCCGAGACTGTTTCCTGAGCCCTCCGAACCTGAGACTGAGTTTTGTCTTTTTCCTTTAGCCTTAGCAGTGGTTGTGAGGTGTGCAGGGGGAACTGGGTGGCTTTACTCAGCCCATTCCAAAGAGGGCTCACCCTCCACACAGCAGCCCGGGAGCCGCTGCTGCTCTCCCCAGCCTCCTCTTTGCTCCTTGGGGCTCATCACTGGTTCTGTGCCTGTGCTCTGTTGTGTTGGAGGGAAGGACTGGAGGTTCTGGTTTTTACTCTGTGAACTTTATTTAAGGACATTCTTTTTTATTGGCGGCTCCATGGCCCCGGCCGCTTGCACCCGCTCTCTGTTGTACACTTTCAATCAAACACTTTTTCAGACTAAAGGCCAAAACCTAATCAAACCCAGTGTCCTTTTTTCTTTGCTGCCTGTCCATCCTGTCCTGGTCACCCAGGTTGCCTGGGCACTTCAGGCTTGACTCTATCAGTAGTATCATCTACCTAGCCATTGGGGTGGGGGATGGGGTGTCCGTGTGGGTCCGACCCACGCGAGCCTGCGTGAGCTTAGGCCTGCTCCCCGCTGGCAAGTGGACATCCCCAGAGGGCTCGCGGGCTGCCAGAGTGATGTCTGACTGCCAGCTTAAGCCCAATTTCCCAGGGAGCGGGCCTAAACCAGCAGGTGGTCATTCCCCAAGGGGTCCCAGACTCTGAGAGGGCACAGGCCAGGCTGAGGAACCCCCCGGAGTGCACAAATTTTTGTTCACCGGGCCTCTAGTTAAGAATAATCAGGGAGGACATCTGAAAGGAGGTGCCATTTAAACTGAGACCTGCAATTAGGAAATGTTCTAAAATTTGTTTATGATGATGATTGCACAACTCTGATAGTATACTAAAAAAACATTGAATTGTACACTTTAGTCATGTAGACATAATAATATGTAAATTATATATCAATAAATTGTTTAAAGGAAAAAAACAACAACCTGACATCCAGCAGATACATGACCAGAAATAGATTGCTCTGTATTTTCTGGTTTTGGGCCTTTTGAGAAGTATATAATTTGGGTAAGTTCTCAATTTTCCCCACTGCTTTGATATTTGGCTTTTTTTTCTAGTGGGTTATCCATTTCTTTTGCAGCTTTCATATTTCTACTGTATTTTCTCTCTGATGTTCCTCATCCTTGTGAGTTTATGTCCTTAAAAAATTCCTTTTTCTATTGATGGTTTTGGTGGAGTTCAGGAGTCATGTCTATATCTTGCCAATATTTATGTTTTATTTTACTTGGCAATTGTATTGGCTGGTACTTTTAGGAAAAGTAAAGTGATAATGGTGATAGTGGGCATCTTTGAGTTCTTCTTCCTGATGGTTAATGGGACTGCTTCAAAGGTTTCATCATAAAGCATGATGATTTGGTTTGAAATACATCTTCATGAAAAAAGAAAACAAAACAACAGCCTGAGGCCTAAATGATCCAAGAAGCCAGCCACACAAAAAGGCTGGGGAGCGATTGCATTCAGTGTATGTCAAGAAAAGGATGGGAGACCAGTGGGGTGGGGCTTGGTGAGCATGGGAAAGGGCAGATGGGGTGGGTGAAGTTGCAGAGGCATGCACAACCATGTAGTGATTTCTAGAACTTGGGAGTCGGATTAACACAGAGGTGACAGTTCCTTGCTATTTCTGGTCATCTGCTTGTCTTTCCTGATGTGTTTGAAACTGCACTGGGTACCCTCTGCTTCTAGCTCTCGATTTTGCTCCCTCCATTGCTTCCTGCTCCTGCCTCTGAAGGATTGGGTGAGCTACTGTAGGGTAATGGTGGGGGTTGAGAGAGAGGGTACTGCTATTTCTCTGAGGCCTTGCTGTGGCTCTCATTTTATTCGTGGCTTGGGCAGTCTGCCCTGTGATCTTCTGCTACAAGGTCACTTTGTCCTTCACTGGGTGGATCCTCTCCCTACCACCTCCCCTGCTTCTGGTGTCCAAGTGAACTCACAGACAGTGCTTTCCGCTACCCTCTGCATTCTCCTGGGAGTGTGAAGAGCATCTGGATCCCAGTGCTCAATACATACCATCATTTCTGGTTGCCTTTCTCTGCTTCATGCTGTTATACTGCAATTTCTATTTCACTGTTGCTAATTTATTTCTGTGTAAGTCTTTCCTAAGGCACCTGATATTTTTCTGAATTATTCTTTAGGCAGTAAGATACAAGTTCTCTGCTAGCCTTTTGCTAGACTTTTCTGATTGTTTTTGATATTATCATTGTGGATTTTCAACCTGGGATGTGGAAGCCCGGTAAGCAATTTGACCTTTACCTGCTCTTTTTCTCTCCACTCACTCTAGCCCCCAATCCTAGAAGAACAATTTACTCACCTGGGAAGGTATTTCCCATTTTCTCTACCACCTGCCTCTCTCCGTGCTAGATTCCCATGAGGCTTTTTGCTCAGACCTCCTTGCTTTTGATGAGTGAAGTGAAACTTTGGGAACTTAGAGGACTCTCTCCTTTCTCAACAAATGCTGGTTATGTTATGAATGATAATCTAAGTGGAAACGCAAAACTGAGTGATGACTTCTAAGTTCTAGGCTGGATTCAGCCTTTCCCATGGAGTAGTCATGCCCTTGATTTAAAGGGTAGCTATAGGAAGGAGGACCAAATTATTTACACGGAGTGAAACAATTGTCAGTTTAATATCATATAAATATTATTTCTATTACCTTTGTGGAAAAGATTTTGAGGCTGAGCCAGGTTGCATGCTGGGCCTGATCGGCACAATCGGTCATTGGCACAGCAAAAGTGCAATGGGCTTTTCGTGCCTATGTAACTTACATTCTAGTCCAGTTGTTCTCAACTTTGGCTGCACATTAGAATCACCTGGAAATCTTGTTAAAATCCTGATTTCTGGGCCTCATCCTCCTGAAATTCTGTTTCTTGGTTACTAATGATGAGGCCCAGAAATCAGGATTTTAACAAGAGTCCCAGGTGATTCCTTAAACTGGACCGGAGGGCCGGAACTAAAGCATGGATGGAGTGTTTGTGTGAACTAGTACATGTTAACACTGCTGCTGGTGAAGGAGCGGAGGGGAGAGCAAGAGAACCCTCCGCTCTTTCGGCTCCGCGGGCCGGATAGAACAGCCGAACGGGCCGGATCCTGCCTGAGGGCGGCAGTTTGCCCACGACTGATCTAGTCTAATAGAACTCACAGGTGTTCAGGTGTCGGCCCTTTCCCAATTCGTGCTTATAACGTAAGAGGAAACTGAGCTCTGACCGGGTTGCTCAGTTGGTTGTACACAAAAAGGTTGCAGGTTCGATTCCCAGTCAGAGAACATACCTGGGTGTCCAAAAGGTTGCAGGTTCGATTCCCAGTCAAAGTACATACCTGGGTTGTGTTGTGGGTCTGATCCCCAGTTGGGGCAGGTATGGGAGGCAAGCTCTCTCTCTCTCTCTTTCTCTACCACTTACTCGCTCTCTCTTCCTCTCCCTCTAAAATCAATAAAAAACATATCCTCATGTGAGGATTAAAAAAAAAATGAAACCGAGAGACTTACCCCCACTTCAACTCCCACTCTAAGAATAGATATTAGTTTTATATAATCAAGGTAATCCCATTTTAGTTGTTTTCAATAATCTTATACTGCCTGTTCATTTCACAGGTGACTTTCATTAGTAGTGGGCGTTCATGTGAACTCATTTAACCTAATCAGACTCAAACGAAGGTCTTTCGTTTCACGACTGGGAAAGCGTCTCTCTCTCTCTCCTGCCTTCGCCAAGGAAGTCCGCAACCCACTGCTTCTGATAACCTTTAGACCAAGGTAAAACAGTCTGGGGATGAAATAGATGCTGTATGTGGCATAAAGGGGAGAGAATTATTCTGGGTAAACCAAACAGCTCTGAAAGTGTCCCCTATCTCTGAATTTATTGTTACATTAGACAATACGTTTCCCAATTTGAGACAGGATTTCTGGGGGGTGGTGGTGGTGTGTATGTGTTTAGCCGTAATCCCTTATATGGCATACATGGGTTGCAGAGAGTAGTAGATCGGGGCCAGGTAATTGACATCCCTACTAGGGACACTGAAACAATGAGTTTGAAAGCCAGAGGTAATAGTCGGGGGGGAAAGGGATAAAGCAGGAACGACTACAAAAAGCCCCTTGTATCTCAAACACTTAAGGTATGTTTCGCAGTTGTGATTGGTTGGGGAGAAAGAGTTTGGGTTAGAGGAGAAGAAGGGACGAAGTAACTAACATTTATTGAGAATTTAGATTCTGGTATTGATTTTTGTTTTGGATACATTATCACATTTCTGCTTCTCAACAAAGAGATAGGTGCTTAGAGATAGAAACCTGAGACTCTGAGATATGAAGCCACATTCCTATGGTGACATAGCTTTTATAGTCTGATTCCAATTCAGGTTCATCCACAGCTTCCTGAGTCCCTTACTGTGTACAGCTTGGCTATTAAAGATGGCAAAAACTGCAAATTTATTTTTTAAAGGGGCCCATCAAAAGTGCTAATGTAAAGAGGAGCTATGTCTCCCAGCTCTAACGAGCATTTGCTAACTCAGAATAGATTGAGAACAACTCGTTTTTTAGGGTTTTAGAGTTATTGTGTTAATCATTTCAATGTTCTGAGAACAGAACACTCTGAGCTTTTACATACTTATCACAAGACTGACAAACAACTCAGTCATAGGAAAGAGACCAGCAGAAAGATCCATAAATCCTAATGTTGGACATTCTGGGGAGCCCTCTCACCTCTTTATGCTGCCCAACACCACAAGGCCTGGCAGAAAAGGCCCCACAGAGCCCTGGTGCTTGATGTGTTTCCCCCAATATTGCTGGCATTATTGAGAAGACAGATGAAGCAGGACCTTTTAGGGGTATTAGTTGTATAATGTTTAGTCTCTCCTCCTTTCCAATATCCAGCTCTCCTTCCGAGCTTTGCTTTTACAGATGAGAAAAGACTGATCCTGTAAGGTTCTGGGGCAGGAGGTTCAGGAGGGTCTGGTTTCCATTTTCTATTACTTGTTTTTCTTCCCAAGAATCATTTTATTTTCTCCTAGGAAGCTTTCTTCTGTTATCACGACGACATCCAATGAATTTAATGGCTTTCTCTTTTCCTCGTTTGCCTGAGAGATGAGTCACATTTTTGGGGGGAAAGCCTACATTAGGATCTGGAAGAATTCTAACATTTTTCCTTAAGAAAATGTTGAATTCCCCTGAAATATGTGAGTCTACAGAAGCTATCTTTTTTTTTTTAAATTTACATCTTAAATACAGCCATGTGCTGCTTAACCGTGGGGATACATTCTGAGAGATGTGTTGTTATGCAGACACCATAGTGTGCCCTTGAACAAAGTTAAATGGTATAACCTACTACTGCAGTTGTATGTGCTATACTTTTTTAAGGAATGG